TCCCCGTAACTGCATCCCTCTCTCTGCTCTCGCACATCGTCGCGCTTCTTCTCCCCCCTCCCCCCCCCTCTCTCTCTCTCTCTCTCTCTCTCTCTCTCTCTGCATCTCGCTGCCTTCATCCCTTGTACTCACGGTCGTTCTCTCCCACTCGCCGAACGCAGTCTACATCCCCCTCGGTCCCGCGTCTCCCACGCTTCCACCACTCCCATATCTCGGTACGGTGCGAGCTCGCAGTCCGCCGGCGACTCTTGAATGGGAGGGACGGGTCCCACAGCTCCCGAACGGTGCAGCGGGTGTCACGTTTCCGTCGACGGAAATAAACGTACGCCGCACGCGGCAGTGTCACAACGGGATTCTCGTGCGTGCGTGCATACGTGCGTGCGTGCATATAAACGTGTACGTTGCGCGACGCGCAATTCGGTGGTCGTCTGCATCGCGACTGCTGCATTCGCTCCGACTTCGGCAGGATGCAGCGCGCTTCGTTGAAGCGCACCGTTCCGGCGGGATAAATTTCTGTGTGAGTCCTGAATGAGAATTATCCACACAGTGCGATGAGAAGGCGAGAGATGGACGCGTAATATGGATCTCTTACTCGCTGAGACGAGCGCGCGAATAACGCAATGAAGGGGCGGAATTATTCGCGGCTGAACAGCGACGTCTGTTTCCACTTGCGCAAAATCGAAGTCGGAGGGCGGGTAAAGGGGAGAGAGAAAAGGGAGACAGAGAGCTCACAACTTCGTGTTCTGATTACCCGATAGAACGTCCGTTCTTTTTTTTCCCCGCAAATAAGAATCCTCTACTGCGGTTACATCTTGACGCATTCTTTCTGTTGGAATTTCAGTAGAAAGTCCAACCGTGATACGATTGTAAATTTTTTATATGTAAACGAAGCGCATCTTGTTTGCGTCATGCATCATTAAAGTTTAACCGTGCAAGGGCTTAAAATTCTTTTGCTGTAAGTTTTAATGGAATTGGATAGTGCAGCGAGACGCGCGCAGAGAGGTGAAGTTTATCTTGAAGGGAGATAAAGTACAAGATGTGACTAGATTTCTCCGAGTATAAAAGTTACATGAAAAGGAAGAACTGGGCTGGACCAAATTAATATCGGAAGCACAATGTGTCACACATCGTAAACATAGGGGGTTGAAAAAAAATATTATATATTCATTATTAACAATTCATACTAATTGAATTAATATTATATTATCAACGACGTTTAAACTTACATCCAAGTTGTATACGTGCTTCACAAAACATGCATTTGACAGCACGTGTATAATGTTTCTGACAGTCGAAAGTTCGATCAGGGTAGCACTGTGTGTACGGCAGATTGTTGGCAAGTGTAGGACACATGAAACCCGCTGTAAGAACATCTCGTTGCCAAAGTAGCCTTAATCAAATTACGCGCCGCGTGAAGTATTCAAAGTTCTATGAATGAACGACGACTGTTTACGATTTGTGTAGCTTTTGTGTATGTGTATTGGTATGTATTATGTTTGTATGTGTGCATGCATGTGTACGCGTTACAGCCTATAATTTCATCTCGATTGCGAGATGACTTTAACATATCCGGATTTCGAGGGTATTACGCGTTTCGATGCAATCACAGATAATACACAACAACTGGATTATATACATATATTACCGGTATATATCGTATATACGTCACGCGTTAATCGCGCCGATAACGTGAAAAATTAAAGCGCGAGCCAACTGACAAGCGATAAAGACATCCCGTATCGCATTGATTCCAATTACGGCGACTTGCGTGTGAACGCGTGTAAAACCTCGCGTTAAACTTGCGACAGATCCTGCGTCTGGCGAGAAGAAGTTCCGAAATTAGAACAGCACAGAGCTTTATAATCAGCCCTGACATTCGTAAAATCCGACCGAGGCTCACCGGTTAAATACCATTCAAATATTCCGCTGCCCTCCCCTCTCCCTTCCAATTCTCATCATATAACGGCGATTTTATCGGCACAATACCCGACGGTAGCATATAAATATGTATATGCATTGTTTGCATAGTACATCGCAACGCACTGCTGACGATCTTCGTGTATCGTTATAAAAAAGGGGAAAAAATATAGGGCCGCAAAAAAAAAGAGGACTTATATGACGATACGCAGAATCCCAGCGAGCTACATTTTAAACGAAGCGTCGAAATGCATATCTGGTTCAACGAGAAATATCGCTTTTGTCAGCATTAAACTTTGGCATATTCCGACCGATATCTGGCCGAGATTTTGCTTTTTCAATACATGCAAAAAACATTTTTTTATACTTTGGTATGTAAAATACTCACCATGGTTGCATTATTCCATGTGAAAGACTTTTATTTAACAATCGCCATTCACTGCTACTCTCAGACTTGATCAATAATCAGGGTTTCTCACAACTTCTTTTTTTAACTATCCATATTTTTAATGGTTCTTGATTATCACGTAATGACTTAACGTAACTTTAATATTAAATGTTCCTCGCGGTTATGTCTGTAATTATACATATCACATGAATCAATTTATCGGAAGATTGAATATCCTGAAAGTGGATGCTTGAAAATGAAGCGGAATGGTTTCTGATCTTCCTCCTTCGGTTGTCAACGCTAATATCAATATTTTGATACGTTTTACCCTCATTACCACAAAGTCCTTCATCGTTATCAAATTCACGTACCTATATCATAAACATTTATGTACATTGTTTACATTGTAAACGTACTGACGCTTACCTTCCTCCGGGAAAGCATCACGCACCACAACGACATAGTTAAACTTGAACCTACGTTAAAGTGATTAAGGACACTGTTATTACAGTAACCTTAATCCTCTTAAACAGGATATTGATGAGACCAAATTTAATGCGAAATTTAAGTAACATTATTTTTTTTATTAGTATCTAACAAATATTGCGCGAAATATTATAGTAAATCAACATTCATTGGCATACAAATTTCAATTTACAATCCATTTTTAAAATTGCAAAATAATAATTTTGATAATACAGCAATTTTGATAATAAACACATGTGTTAATGAGCAAATTAAAATTTGCACTGCCACGTTTATATATATTATTTATTGTATTCCTTTACAAGTGAAAATAAATATGCAATAAATATGTATTTTAATTAAATTAATATAACGTACATATTGTTTTAATTTTCATGGAAAATATTAAATAATGGTATCTGTTAACCATATACATATATAGGCTGAAGAAATATACATTTTTTTCTGATATTTGTAACACGCTTCGTAAAATCGTTTCAACTTCTCTTGTGCTTGATGTAGTCATGTATATAACAAATTAAAATTTCACTCCTAAAGCAGTCCGCCATATCAACTTTATAAAACTACGATGGCGTATCCCAAAGCGAAAAATTATTAGTAACGGCCGTTAAACCGCGCGCGATGTTCATAAATCGACGCGGTTTATCGTAAGAGCGCTATATAAGTACACACTTTGTTCGCTTGGTAGTATCTAGCTCGTAACGGCGCCTTAATGAAGTCGTAAAAGAGCGGCGAAGTATGCAGACGGCCCCTCTCGAGCGCGGTTTTATAGTTTCGATCGGATCGTCGATCGCCGGAAGTGCATTATTTTGCCTCGCATTAATACCGAGGATAACTGAGCACCTATAGATTTATTGAGTATCGGGCGTGTTATGAATATACGAATATGAAGTAACGGAAAAGTGCGAACACAATATATGTAAACATGTATGCGCAGTATTTGTCATACCTCTCTGAATATTATCCATAAGTGTATATATATATAAGCATTTATATATATTTATAGATTGATATAATATTATATAAATTGAGGAATATTAATGTTACTCATATTTTAATGGATTGTTATGAAATGTGTTAATATAATCCATTTTCCGTGATAATTTATTTTGCTCTATGCTTTCTTGAAACAAAACACGTCATAAATAGTACAATGGGAAAGATTAAAGCATGCAGTAATGTAATGAGGAGCTATCTGAAATGAGAAATCTTTGAATCAAAATATTTTAAAATCTAAAATCGAAAAAGTTCAGACGCAATCTTGGCACTGAAGATTAAATGATCTCTTTTTACAGAGTTTTATCAACTGTTTACTTTCCCCTTTAAACATTGAATAATAATAAGTGCGACGTGACATGCATTTCCTTTCAATAGCGTATCAATTAATATTAAACAATTTCGTTTTCGAGCACAAACACTCGGTCGATAAAGACTTGAAATTAAAGTAAGTAGAATTCATTGAGCATCGACTCTACGATTCTATAGATCCATGAATAGACCCGATGTACTTGCGCTGAGCAATCGCATACCATAGCTTAGTTTGTACAACCATGCCATTGAACTATGTACCGTGCAAAGAGGCGTTGATGAATTTCCTCCCCCTACCAATATATACATATGAATTTGGTATAATCCACTGCAATACAAATGCGATATTCGCAAATATTCAATCGATAGAGCCTCTTTTAAGCTTCAGAGTTATCGTTGTGATGATTTCAGTGGCAATCATAATTGTATTCTCTCTCTCTCTCTCTCTCTCTCTCTCACTTTAAATTCTGTTCTGTTAAATAAAAACAGATTGTATTTTAATCATATTCAGAATTAATATTAAAAAAAGACGGAATTAATCATTAATGTTATGCTGAGTTTGTTAAATAATTAATGTCATCTTTTATAGAAAGACTTTTTAAAATCTCTTTACATATTTTTAAATAAACGTTCTTAATATATCCAAAATTTATCTACGTAAAACAAGAAAAACTATATAATTTACATGCTTTTAATTAACAACATTAACTATGATGTGTTTCCAGAATCGAAAAATTAAACTTGCATGCATTTCATCATCGCTCAAACATGTTTCATGGCAAGTATTCGAACACGAAACACGCGAATGTTGATGAGAATAACTTCTCAAAGTTCGTGAGCGCGATTTACACGATCGGAGTAGCGAGAGAGTCTCTGACGAGCTCTTGCAGTTTTGTGGGACGCGTCCGTATGCACCTCGTGTAATTCGCGCCGACGTAAATGCGCGTAGTTTGCCGCAGACAATCGCGTAACGAAGTGGCCCCGGCGCCGTGTTACCGGGCTGCCGCGGCCGTATGATAACGCCGACTGTTTCCGACGCGACCAGCTTCCGTAGACGCGAGAATTCGCAACCGAAAAGTCCGGCCCGATGTATGCACAGCCCGGTGTATGCGCTCCGACTCCGTTCATCGTACGAACTTCAATTAGTGACCAGCAATTAACAGAGTACACGAGACTCCCGCTTGCTGCGCCGAAAATTTCTCCCGTGCGGCACGAGTGATGCGGCTACAAGGCAACCTATGCAAACTAATGGTTCGGTCTTTTCCTACCTATTTTCTTTCGTTCTCGGACTCTCTCGAGTTCTCTTTTTTTCTCTCTCTCCGCCTCTCTTTCTCTTCCTCACAAGAGCTGCTCGTTTTCACGCTGGATCGTGAGCTTTTTCCTCGACGTCCCGATGATTACACTCCCGAAGCATAGAAAGAAGAGAGAAACGGAAGCGGTTCTCTTGTACGACTAATATTGTATGTCAAGGCAAGAGCAATTGCGTGTCATCCCTGTAAAGAGCTTAATTTTTTTAACGGAAGTTTCTTCAAAAGTTTAGTTGATGCGAGATACACGAAAAGAATAGTTTTGCTAAAATATCAAAAAATTTAGATAGATCTGAAATCAATTTTGTCAAATTATTAAAATAAATATGTGGGACGCTCAAATTAGAATATCAAAATTTTGTGTATCATTGCTCGTTATGCTTATGTTTCCTATATAATTATTCTTTTCATTCTCTTCGTAAAATACACAACACGTTTATATACGTATACAATATACAAAGTCTGCTAAAACATGTCGACTTTATTATATCAGTAAAAGGAAATTAATTGTATATAAAATTGTCTGTCGTGTAACATAAAAAAATTTGTTTGTAGAACTGAGATTTTAGTAATTTTAATTGTAAAATGTAAAATCCATCATTGACAAAAACCGTGTTTTTCACGCGCGATTGTCTATGTTTCCACAGAAATGATCGTAACCAGGACAAATTTCAATTAGCACCCGATAATAGCAATTAACAACATGTACACAGTGCTCATTTGATGGTTCACATGAGTCATTTGCGAAAAGCATTTCAAATTAATAAGTTCTTATTCCCTCCCATACAGCACAGAAATTTACAGCAATAGCTGCAACATTTCTAATGTTATTGTAATATTGCTAGAACGTTGCAATGTTGCTACAATATTGCTGAAATGATCTGTGCTGTATGTTCTTCATTACTCTTCGCCATACGTATCATTCATTCGATCGTCGGTTTTTCTCTCCACTATCCACTATAAATATAACAGTAAATTTACCACGTCTATATCCGATCCGTTAGTTTCATTCGTAGCGTGACTAAACGGACGGAAATCGGAACGATCGACCAGCTCGATACTCCAATTTCTGCGAATAAGACCGCCACAGTGTGGCCACCAGGGACACCGGAAGATACTCCAGGGCGCTTGTCACACGGACTCTCTTGAACAACAGATGTATCCGGAGTGAGTACCTGTCACGATGGGCGTCACGACGACTGGCGCGTACAATGACAATCTCGTGCGACAACACAACGACGTGTCCCTTAATCCACACTGACGGAAATGCACACATTCGTGGCGGCGCCATAAACCGGAAGCGTAAACCGCAGTCCGACAACCCCGTCCGATGAGTGTTTCCCGTCCTTGAGTGTCGTCGAGACAGTTTCTCGTCTGCAGCTCGTTAAAAATCGTCTCTGTTTCTGGAGAAGAGTTAACATGAGAGTATGATGCAACGCGCGGTAGTCCGACGTGATCATGCCGACCAAATGGAATAATCGTCGAGGGGAAACAGAATGATGGCACGTCGAGGTACGATTTGTCTTGGCGTGCATGTGCGTGTGTGACTTACAAAGTGTCGAAGTGCGAGGAAGAAATCAAGGATCATATCAACGTGGATCATCGTGACTTAGCTTGGCTTGACTCGGCAAACGAACTTTGCGTTGCGGTTTATATGCAAAGGTGAGTTGACGTTATTAATTGTCGATACTGTAGACTGATTCTTTTTCCCGTTTTATAAGAAAGAAATGAAATTTCCACTGAAAAATTTGATTTTTGTCAAATTAAAACATTTTATGTTTGCTGAATTTAATCTGTAATTGGAACATATGGATTCTATGGCCCTGGCAATAATTTAAAAAATCGTGTTTTCTAAAAAAAATTTCATCTCGTATTTGTATCTACAAGATTTAGAGAAGCAATAAATTCTATCAATAATATTTTATTTCTGTGTTTCAAACATTCTTATGCTATAAACTAAGAATACATAATTGAACTTGAAAAATTCTCACAGAAAATAAAACTAATAACAAAAACTTTAATTAGTCCCAAGGATTCATACGTTTCTTTACAAACAAAAAATATGTGTTCCTGTTACGAGTTACGCATCTGAATCTGAAATATAATAAAAAATCGAAACAAAAAATAAGTATAATGAAATGAGATGCAGTTGAAAAAAACCAAGAATTTAATTTTATTAAAATATATATCACATTTCGCGAAGTTTGTATTGGAGGATTGTGTGTATACTTCGTATACTTGCACTTCGGTAATCTACTTACAAAGAAACTACGCAGCTGCATCACGCGCAAGTTAGAGCTTTAGCTAACCTTCAAGTTGCCACGCGCAAAGTTGATGACATTTTTACTATACGACTTGTAAAACTTTATAATATATATTATGAGCGTAAAATATGATTAAACCCATTGAAACGTAAAACAGAGAAACAAAGTGAGAAAATTTTCTTATATTCTGTGCTCCGTCACTGATTTCATTTCCCGTATTTATTGATTGCTTTACACATTTTATTTTACAGTAGAAAGAGTATACAAAAATGTACGAGCAATTTTTAATTAAAATATTTTTGTCCAAAGTAAAGTTTACGCTATAGCTTCTGTCCAACTTTTTATCAATCTCCACGTGATCTTATAAGCATCGCGTAGCGTAAAAATTGGGTGAGTGGTAGGATGCGTCGTAACTTTGATAATCTGTCCTACAGTGGTTTTTGACGAGAACCACTTAAAAGTTTTGGATTTTATGGACAAGAACTCGAAGAATTTTTATGAATATCGCTACAGTCTGAAGGAATGACTACTATACATTTTTTTTTTATTTTAAACGAAATATTAAGAAATATCAATCAGTATAAGCTACGAAAATTTATATTAAAATCTAAAATCATTAATTCATTTATTCTGATAATATATCCCTATGTAGCAAAAGAGGTCGCACTTAAAAATATATTTGAACATACTTGAATTTTTATTGAGATACTCTACAAACGCAATTCAAGACTTCTCTTATGCAATAATCTCTACAGCTTTAAATTTTTTTTAATTTTTAACGAATATCATGATACGATATATGAATGAAACATTTCTATCCCTGAATCTCACAATTGACTTCATATTCGCAATATGTACATATACGCACGAATGCTACATACGGACGAATATCCGATCGATTTTCGGGTTTCGAAGAGATAGCAGTATCACGCTTTCGTCGAGTTGGTTCGCGTTTAATCACTATTTTTTAGCAAATACGTTTTCGTAGACTTACGTCTACAATCGTTTATATGTTGTCGCTGAAAGCTGTTATGCATCAAACGCATTGAAAATACCGTATTTCTCGTGCATTAAAACTGTGTCACTAGATTTGTGAATTTACGAAAAACTGATCACTGCATTAGTGACATGAAAAATGTAATGAAAAATGAAAAAAAATAATCAAGAGACCATATATATGTTTTTTCATAAACAAAAATTTCCGCGCTTTAATTATACCTCTCGAGGTCTAAAAATAATATCGCCTTATAAATGTCAAATATGAGATAAATCATAATATTATAAAGCGACGACGACCATTCATATTTTAGTCGTTGTTATTTAATTCTCATTCAGCAGTGAAACTGCGGTGCTCGTAGCACGACGCAATTTTAGTGCAATTAAAATCTTGCAAAGGATTTTTATGATATACACACATAAACATGATATTATCCTACGTATAATCCGTGACTTTAATTAATGCAACAACTCAGAGCGTAATTACTTTGGAATGATATTTTTAGTATATTCATATACAAGCACACTCTGAGAATATCCCTTGCGTATCGTTTTAATACCAAAAATTTGTGCACCAGTTGCTTTTCTATCAAACGCGTTTTGCAGAAATAATTACGTATTTTAAAATAAATTTAAAAAAGTTATCTTATATACATGTAATGCACATATAGAATAATGCATGCTGCTTATATTAAAACGGATTGATTCTATTCTTTTAATACTTTTATAGCAAAATGTTGAAAAGGCATTTTCAACAATTCATATTTAAAATTATAGACGAAGCCATTGGAGAATATTTTGAAATTCACTATAATTTCAATGTCTAAATTAATACTGAAAGTTGTAAAACTTCTTTAACAGTTGTCTAGTATTCGTAGATGTACATCCGTCTCTCTTTCGCTATAATTAATTCTAAAGGACAAAATCTTTCGGACAACAAATGCAATATTACAGTTTCGGAATGTATAGAATGTCTGCTTTGCGGTATTCGCGCGGCCTATCCAACACGAGAGCTGCGATCTAACGAGCAAATCCCAGCCACAAATTCAACTTGCACTTTCACAAGGACGGATCTGCTGGTTGGACTGTAATATTTGTGGTCACTGTAGAATGCCTCAACAACCCTTTAAAGTACTATTCTCTCTCTCTCTCCCCTCCTCCTCCCTTTCTCTCTATTTCCCTATCTATCTTTTGTCAACACATGATCGTTCATTACTTTTCGAGATCGCTCTCATCCAATCCATGTCTCCTTCAACAATTCTCACGAGCAGTTCTCCACGCCAAAGAATGTCATTAAAGCAATACTGAGAACTCGCTGCTGAATACCGCAGCTCGGATTGTTACGAAATTGCGCGGAAGTGATTTTCTCGAAACTGCACTGCTGAAGATAATGAGAACAACTCTGTTCATTTGTTAAGCGGAACAACCAACGAGATTATTAGAATTCTGTGCGACGTAATAGCGACGAAGAGACAATGCCTCTATGAAAATGTTCTCCTTCTCAAATTCCTTCTAGAGCAATACACTCGAGAAACGTACAAAATGATGAGTATTATATTTAAAGTGTTTTCGTGTTTTACGTCCTGATCATTATATGATGTACATTATAGACATAGTTTATATTTTTATAATTTATATTATATTAATTAATTTGAATTATTTATCACAATCGTTCGAAAAATGAAGTAGACTCGTTTGAAAAGAGTCTGAAGAACAATTCAAATAAATACTTCCAATAAATCGAGCCAAAATGACGATAGCTGTCGGTCTGTTCTTGACACTTGCTAGGCAAATTAATTCGCGACAGCTGACTCGGTTGTCAGTTCGATTAAATGCTGGGTGGAGCTGAGTGGTTATGTAACAAATTAGACCTGACTATGCCGACTAGTTAATAGGCTGCGTATTTACTTGAGGCTAAACAATATTACATATGAGATCTAAGCCACAGGCTATTATCACTATATCGACATTCAATACTGCAAATCTCATTTTGATATTATGGATATACATGAAACGTGACTTTAATTGGAAATATGTACTTTAGAAAATAGTTAAATTGCGATAGTTGTTTCTTCATTTTTCTAAATGAATGTAAAAAATTCGTAAGCTTCTAGTAATTTTTTTTCAGGAAAATAACCTGAAAAAAAAGGAATTAAATCTCCTAATTCTAGCAACCGAAAATTTTGTAAAAAATAAAATGTAATAATCTAATAATTAAATATTTAAAAGTAAAAACGATTAATATATGAATCATCTGTTTGCAAATGGGAGCTTATACACTAATCAAATTTATATGACAGTCTACATTTCACATTTATCGTACATACACGATACATTACATGTCATTTTACCGATAATTTACTTATTTAAATAATTGTTAAAGCCATTTCTCTCTCTCTCTCCACACAATTATCATACTATTTAAATCAATTCTATTCTTCTTTGATGTCCTTCATCCAGATGATAAAATATGTCATTGGCTCATTACAGGTTTGTGTTGATCCGGTTAATGATAGTCGATTAATTTGTATTTGCATGAAATGCAATTATTCAGCAACTCTGTCAAATGTTTTTACAAGGATAAAATGACATATTCTTCTGAAAATTCGATTAAATACATTTTTCATATATTTATTTATAATTTATGGATTTGAAAAATGGCGACGCGTATTTAAAAGTATCTGTCGAGACACTGACAATCCGCAATTATTTTTTGCATAGTTTTAAATCTGTAATTAATATTACGTGCAAATTGTATTAAACAAATTATATTAAAGAATGGTCGAAAATGGAAAAGAAAAATGCATAACTTAATGTTTAATGTGAATCAAAGCTTTTTCATATTTTGTGTAGTCAATTCAAGATTTAAGAACCTAACGCTTTAACGATTTCGCGTCCATCACCGTCAGGCCAAGTATTTACTTTACACCAACGAGGGATAAAGGAAGGAAGGAAGTGCCGAAGGAAGGAAGAAAGCCGGGGAGAACGTCATGAGAAAAGGGCGATCCATCAAAATCAAAAGAGCGCCGCCGCAAGCGCCAAGGGTCGTTTACTTTCTCTGCTCCTCGCGGATACTTCGTTATTTTTCGAGTCGCCTCTTATCTTTTTTCCTTTATCCTCTCCGTTTGTGTCATTATCCCCACACCTATATGACATTGGCGAAGTGGCCAGATAAATGATATAACAAGTAACTATATACAAAGGATAGTCTTCGTCTACTCGAATGGACTGACAAGTGGAATATCTTGATTTTGGATATATATTCTTAAAAACGTGGAATTGTATAAGCTGCACGGAAAAATCGTTAGTCATTAAATTAGCGAATATCATTTAAGTAAAATAGTGATTATACACTGAGAGAAAAAATAGTTGTAATTACTATAATTTAACTATAATTTATAG